TGGGTCTCCACTCCACACTCCCCCCCTCATTCACCATGATATAATTTTTTGTTCTGATGATGTCTGATACCTGATCCCTTCGACACCTCGTGATTGCACAGCCTAGCCTGTAATTCTTTATGGGAGTAGAAACCCTCATCTTTTTCCCACAGAGCAACTGGTGTATTTGAGCTACTGACCTTGCATTGAGCAACTCAATGCATGACCCATTATGCCACCAGATTAAACAAATAAAATGATGGGGCTTTTGCTGGAATAGGATAGAGGGAGTATCTGAGGAAAGACAACATACCTAGGTTTTATAGAAGGCATTGGAAATGCCAAATCTCTAATTACATTGGGAAGAAATGAGAGGAAGGGATGGAGAAGAGAATTACTTGAAGATAGGAATTATAGGTCCTGGTAAGTAATACCTGTCTGTTTCCTCTTCTCCCATTTTTTTTCTTTGTCTCAAAGTTTAACTCAAGCCCTCTCTTTTTTCCAGAGTCTCCCTTAACCACTAACATAAGCACACTTTCTTCTTTTCTGACTTTTGATATCATTACTACCTCTAAGAGTAGTTTTGGCATACATATATATATGTAACACACAAAATGTGTCCCTAAGTAGATTATAATCCTTGAATGAGCTGAGGCAGTTTTTAGGCTATCATGTGCATGTAAATACATTACTCAATTTCAACATAGGAGATTTGCTTCTATCTGAAAATTCTTTGTGCCTTTCAATGATAAATGAATATTTAAGTTATAGTGTGCCAAAAGATTGTTTTGCAAATTACTTACTCAACAGATTCATCATTTTACATGTGATATACAAAACAGGAGTAAGACATGATTCCTAAATTGGCATGTGCTAGAGAAATTACATTTATTTGAAGCAAATGTAGGAATCCCTATGAAGAAGGTGAACTTGAGCTGAATCTTGAAAGATTTAAAGCAGAATTTCACTAGGGAGGGGTGTTAGAGGAACTAGGGAGATAAAATGAGGAAAGCCAGGAGTTTATACAGGGAGCTAGTTCAAGGAATCCATTCTGGCTGACATATTATACGTTAGAGGAATAGTAGGAAACATGGCTTCATTTGGATCTAGGGCATGAGGAGCCTTTAACATTCTTCCAAATCGAACTCTACCATCGAGATGGTTCTACCTCACAGTGGCCCTATAGGACAGAGCGGAACTGCCCCTGTGGGTTTCTGAGGCGTAAATCTTTATGGGAGCAGACAGCTTCATCTTTGACACAGTGTGCTGTTAATCTCAAACTGCTGACTTGGTGGTTAGCGGCCTAATTTTTAACTTACTTTCTAAGGAATTTGGATATAATTCTATAGAATATTTTGCAAGAAGTGTAAATTATTTGTGCTGTAAATTTAATGACATGATGCTTTGTTATGTTGGATGGGTGGCATGAATCTATCGGAGCCCATCAGGGTAGTTAACAGGTGAGGCATTGAGTCCTGGGTTGTGCCTACTCATCCTTTAAGACATATGCTAAGCCTTTGCTGCCACATAAATATCTTTTGTTTGTATCTCAATTACACTGTTAGCTTCTCGAGGGCAGAGACAACTATATTATTATCTAATAATTAAACACCTACCAAACTAAAAAGACATTTCCATCTGGTGTTAAAAACAGCTGGTATGATTGCTAATAATATATAATTATCTGGATATGTGCTGTTGAATATGATACCATGAGCCACGTGTAACTATTTAAATTCAAATGTAACTTAATTAAAATTAAATAGAA